AAGCCACAGCGTCCGTGTCTACGCAGACTGCCACAGAAGAGAAAGAAACCAAGAGCAAAGCAACAGCATCCGTGTCCACTCAGACTGCCACAGAGGAGAAAGGAACCAAGAGCAAAACAACAGCGTCCATGTCTACGCAGACTACCACAGAGGAGAAAGGAACCAAAAGGGCCATGAGCACCTCCACACAAACAGTCACCGAACCAGAGCAGCCTAAACCGGTAGAAGTTGCCCCCATTCAGAAAAAGAAATCAAAAAGCAAATCAGTCCGCATAGTGACTGATGAGGGTGAGGCAGGACCTTCACACGCAGCGGAGGAGACAGAACCAGAGATTATCACTCGCTCTCTATCCCTAGGTGAGCTGCGTGACCTGCGGAGGGAATTCACCCGCCAGACGAACGAGTCCATCCTAACCTGGCTGCTCCGCATCTGGGACGCTGCAGCAAACGACACCATCCTGGATGGAAGTGAGGCCAGGCAACTGGGATCGCTGTCCCGGGATGTGGTCATTGACCAGGGGATTGGGAGAACCCAAGAAACTCTCAGCCTCTGGAGGCGACTGCTGACAAGTGTAAGGGACAGATACCTCTGCAAAGAAGACCTCCAGGTGCACCAGGGAAAATGGAGCACAATGGAACAGGGTATCCGATGCCTGAGGGAGTTGGCTGTGCTGGAGATCATTTTTGCAGAAGATGAGAGATTTCCTAAGAGCCCAGATGGTGTCCAGTGCACGTCACAGATGTGGCTGAGATTTGCACGGCTTGGACCAGAGATGTACTCCCGTTACCTGGCAACACTGCAATGGAGGGAAGGTGAGGACAGGGTGGGTGTCCTGGCCAATAAACTAAGAATCTACGAGGACACTGTCACTGCCCCGTTTCGCACCCATGTCTCATCTGTGGAAACAAGGCTGGCTGAGCAAGTCCGGAGCTTGATTGAAGAGGGCCATCAGAAACTAAAAAAGGAACTTAAAGAAGAAATTTACCACGTCTCCCCAGAACCAACAAGAGTCTCTGCTATTAGGAGTAGGCATTCCCCAGCCAGGGAGAAAGGATACACTCCACGAGGTAACCTCTGGTTTTTTCTCCAGGAGCATGGAGAAGACATGAGGAAGTGGGATGGAAAACCCACCTCCTCCTTAGCAGCCCGGGTACGTGAACTAAAAAGAGGGACAACTACCACAAGGAGCTCATCTAGAGCCAGCGCCGCTCCGGTCTCTCGTAGCCAGAACATCAGAAGGTATAGAAATGATGATATGAGTGATCCTCTTGAAGGGACATCAAGAGCATATTCACCGGAGGAGAGCAACGTGCACCATGACCAGGATTAGAGGGTCCCTGCCTCTAGCCAGGTAGAGGAGAGGGACAACCGGATCTATTGGACAGTGTGGATCCGATGGCCTGGCACATCTG